GCATCCGCTCTACCACTCCCCAAGGCCACCTCAGACGGGACTGGTTGTCCTTTTGGATCATCACCACCGATCCTACCCGCAAACCACCTCGGGAACTAAATCGGGGAACGGCAGCAGAGAGGTTACGCACATACTCACGCTTCCACACCTGCCAGAACTGCTCCAGACAAGCACGGCGTTTGTTTGTTTGTTTGTTTTTGGTTAGAAAAGACTTATTCTAGACAAGGCGGCGGCGGAGCCGAGAATCTTTATTGGAGCTGATACACATGCCAACATCACATGTCAAACAGTTAACCAGCCTGTCATTGGCCGACACAACACACGCCATTGGCTGTCCCACTACCGCAATGCGGCAGACCCAGCAGCCGAGAGCTGTGAGAAACCTCGTGACGCCGCATCGGCGGGGTTCACACGACTGGGGACATAATACACTGAAAATGCGCGCGATTTAAATACCGAAAGCAGAATCACCAGTCACGGACGCGGGCATCGACCCTAATGCAAATTAAAAACAACTCCTAAATTATCCGAATACAAAACTGTGTGATACATATCACGAGACAAAATAGCAGTTAGCGCAGCCAAATATTCGGCAAAATAAATAGGAACCCAGCCAGCAATGCCCACTCGGGCCCCAATCAGTCTTTGCTTGGGCAGGCCCAGCTTGGACTTCTTGGGCACTGCTCAGTTTTTTCTTGGGCTTTGGTCGGTGTACAGACCGCCGAGCAACGCCCAACAAAAAACCGGCCGGGCCCCGAGCGGGCAAGCCCGACCACTGCTGGGCGTGAATGGTGGGGCCCACGCAGGGCCCGAGCGGGGCCCACTCAGTTTTGTCTGCTTGGGCCCTGCATGGGCCCCAATCGGGCCCCGCTCAACGGCCAGCATGGGCTTGCCCAACCTCTGCTGGGCATGGATAGTGTGGGCCCGCGCAGGGCCCGAGCGGGTCCCACCCAGTTTTGACTGCTTGGGCCCTGCGTGGGCCCCGATTGGGCCAGGTCTAACGGGCAGTGCGGGCTTGCCCAACCACAGCCCGATCTGCCTATGATCGTCCCAGCCAACAATAATATGCGGGGCCCACGCTGGCAAACCTCGGGCAAGCCCACAGAAACACCTTGGGCTAGCCCAACCTCTAAGTTCAGGAGCTGACGTTTGAGCTCAATCGTCACAACTACGACGTCATGCTTCTGGCTGAGACCTGGCTGCGCTCGACCACCCCGAACCGCCTCCTGGTCATTCCAGGATATACGCTTTGTCGTGTGGACCGCCCAGATGGTAGCGGTTACGGCGGTGTCGCAATTATCACCAAGGCTAAAATCACGTCAACCCGACTCAAGATCCCGGGCAGTGGGAGCTCTGCCAGCAGCCTGGAGTCACTGTGGGCGCTGCTAAAGCTTGAACAGGGCCGGCAGCTGATTATCTGCTCCCTGTATCGGCCACCCCGACACAGTGAGGCTGCTCTGGTTGCCGACTTCACGGACCTCGAGGCCCAACTGCAACGAGTTATAATCGATTACCCCAGTGTTCCGCTTGTCATCTGCGGCGACCTCAACTGTGATTTATTGAAAGAGCCTAATTTCCGCGCGCGTCAGCACCTAAGCAGCTTCCTATCAAATTACTCATTAGATCAATTAGTGACAACTGCAACATTTTCCTCCGGCTCGCTCCTGGATGTGTGTATTGTTAACAACCGTGAGCTCGTTTGCGACACCCGTGTTAAATATTGTCACTTCAGTCCTCACAAACTTATCGATGTCGTTGTGAATGTGCCGAAACTGCGTCAAAAGCCCACTGTTATCTCGTCTCGCTCCTTTAAGCGTTTAGATCACCCTGCACTGCATCATGACTTACTCGATGTTGACTGGGATTATGTATTCTCCGCCGAAACCGTCAGTGATAAGTGGGATGCTTTCTTGTCTTTCTTCGTACCTGTTTTCGATGCCCATGCCCCAATTAAGCGTGTGTCTATCCGTAACCCGACTGCTCCTCCCGTCTCCGTCGCCACTCGAGATCTCATGTCCCAACGTCGCGCTGCGCTCCGCCATTTAGGCCGCAACTCGAGCGAGTACAAAACTCTTAACCGCTCTGTCCGGGCGGCTTTGCGTCGCCACCGGCGGGTGGAACTACAGAGGGAAATCGGGGAACGGGGCCCCAACAAAGTTTGGCAATGTATCAGGTCGGTGGTTGCCGGTAAGAAGGATGGTCCTGATGTTCAGCCTGACCTTTCTGCCAATGACTTAAATTCTTTCTTTGTATCCGTCGGTCCTCGTGTCGCTGCCGAGATCCGAGCCCAAAACGCACCTACCGATTTGAATGTACGTCTTACCCGTGTTGGTGCATGCAGTTTTCAACTTCGAGAAATCACACTTGCCGAGCTTGAGCGGACGATTTTCAGCATGCGTAGCTCGGGTGCTTGCGGTACCGACAGTGTCTGCGTTCGCATGCTGAAAGCCGGATTCCGAGCTATTGGTGGTGTCATCCTGCATATTATCAATACCTGCTTAATTCAATCCGACATCCCCGATTCATGGAAACATTCCATAGTTCACCCTCTGTTCAAATCCGGCAATCCTTCAGACCCCGCAAACTTCCGGCCCATTTCCCTGGTTCCTGTAATCATGAAAGTGGTTGAGCGCATTGTCCATCAGCAGCTCTACATCTACCTCTCTCACAATCACCTACTGGCATCCTCACAGCACGGCTTCCGCCCCCGGCACTCTACTGAAACCGCGTTGTTGTCCGTCACTGAACGCATCCTGGCCGCCACCGACAGGGGGGAGATCTCAATGCTATGCCTTCTCGACCTTAGTAAATGTTTTGACGTGATAGACCACGAGCTTCTGATGCAAAAACTTATGCTGCACGGTATCGAAATTTCCTGGTTCGCCGCCTATCTTCATGGACACACCCAGAGCGTGTCGTTAAAAAATGGGTCCGGAAGTAGAGTGCTGTCTCGGCCTCTTCCTAATACCATGGGTGTCTTCCAGGGCTCTGCGTTAGGGCCGTTACTTTTCACCATCTTCTCTAACAACCTATCGCTGTACGCGGGTGATGCAGTAGTCTTTCAATATGCCGACGACACCCAAGTATTGGTTAGCGGTCCTGCCAGGGACCTTGGAGTTCTCATCTCGCGCATGGAGGTTTCGCTCGCGTCACTCAACGAATGGTTCTGCGCTAACGCCCTGAAGGTCAACGCCAGTAAAACACAGCTCATTGTCTTCGGCAGTCGTCAAAATTTACGCAAATTGCCAGATTTCAGGGTATCGTTCCGTGACGCAGCGTTGCAGCCGTGCGCGCAGGTGGGGAACCTGGGCGTCACTTTTGACAGTACTCTATCCTGGGACGCTCACGTCTCCGAACTCAGTCGCCGGTGTACGGGACTGTTGATCGGTCTCTCCCATGCGCGCCACAGTCTCCCGGATGGCATCATTAGAACGCTCGTGACAGCACTCGTTATCTCACGCATCCAGTACTGCCTCTCAGTTTATGGCAATGGGTCCCAAAAAAATTTCGATCGTCTCCAAAAAAATTTGAACTTCGCTGCTAGAGTCATTTTCGGTCGCCGTAAATTTGCCCATGTCTCTGACCTGCGAAAAAAGCTCGGGTGGCTGTCCCCGCGTCATATGGCTGATTACCAAACCCTTGTTATCGCCCACAAAGCCATTCAGCGCGGCGAACCCGAGGAATTGGCAACCATGTTCGTCACAAACAGCGCTGTCCGGGAGAGACACTCCAGGCAAGACCACCTCTTTCACCTTCCGCGACCACGGCTGGAAACGGGTAGGCGGCGGTTCGGCTATCGAGCCGCTGCTCTACTCAACAGTCTCCCAACTCAGCTGTCGCAGCTGTCTCCCGCCCCCTTTGCCCGATCTGTTAAAGCCGCGATAGTGGACGGGGCATCAACTGATCGTCGCTGACCAACGGGTTGGTGGGTGGGTGAGTTGTACCTGTGGTACTACGAAAGTGTCTCTGTCCGTGCTTTGACGTGAGTGAATGTGTGAATGCTGTGAATGTTTAGATTAGTAACCGCGGATACGGATTCTGAGCAGTAATCGCCACGCACTTTTAGAATGTGGATCGCTCATGATTGTTCAATACAATACAATAAGTACGTTTCTGCTCGGCGTATGACACAAAAACGCCAACCAAAAACGTACTTCAGCCACCACGGGGCCCTAGCTGGCATGCCCGCATTCAGCCCACGTTCTGACGCACTGTGTGGGCTATGCCCGCGTTGCGCCATGCCACTTCAAGCCACCGCAAGTGTGGCCCCACGCGGGCTCTCGCGTCTCCATTGCGCGGGCTGCCCGCATTGCGCCCGCCATCCACTGACGTGTGCGGGCTAAGGTGGGTTATGCCCGCGCTGCACCTTGCTCTTTTGAGCCACCGCAGGTGTGGCCCCATGCGGGCACCGGCAGCCGGGTAACGCGGGCTGCCCATGCTCAGCCCTAGTAGCGTCAACCTTCGTACCGCATTGAATAACTGTGGGCCCAATGTGGCCGAGCCCGCATTTTTGTGTGGGCATGCCCGGATGTTGCCCTTATTGCTTATAGGAATTCATAATGGCTCTCAACTGTGGCCCCATGCTGGCATGCCCACGTGGGCTAGCCCACCCTTAAACGTACCGGGCCCCATATGGGCTGCACGTCGCTAAGCCCAACCTGGCAGTGGCGGTTCCAGCCACCTCCCCCCCCCCACCCCCCACCCCCGATCAGTGGCGGTCGTTTGACCGCGAGCTTGCGCCTCGAATCATTTGCTCAAACAGTTCGTTCTGACATTGTAATGTATTGCTCAACACTTGACTATACGTATATACACCGCCGCGCTGGTATCCTCCAGCTACCATTGCTCCATGGGGAGTTCAGCCTCTTCGGCTTCAGCCTCTTCGGCTTCAGCCTGGCGGGTTTCGAAGTCAGGCTGCCGGACCTCCAGCGTCTCGAGGTTCTCCACCGGCTGCAGTGGAGGTTGGTCGGTCGGGGCCTGGCCTGCCACTGACGGGCCAGCTGCCTCCTTGGTTTTTGAAAGCCTTCGGAGACGTTTGCCGTTCCGATCCCGGCTGCCGGAGAGCCAGAGGCCCACGCACCTCCCGACGGCGTCTCGGTTGGCGCCACCGCAGCGTCTCAGTGTCTCTGCCAGAAAAGCCACCCAAACTGCGTCATTATCTTGTGTGAACAAGGGAGGGATATGGGAGGGTGTACAAAGCACACCGATACATCAGAAAAGAATATACTGCATTTAACAGACACGTGAAAAAAGAAAAAAGCGCTCCGATGAATGGCAAACGAAAAGCAAAACATCGATAGCAAAAGCAAACATGCACGCAAATACACGCACACACAAGCATCACTCACCGCAGATAACGTCGAAGAGGACGGTTTCCGCTATAGCCCTCTTCCCATTCTTCCCTTTCAGGGAAAGGTGCTCGGACAGATCGGCCGACACAGTGCCGCGCATTACAGAACGGACGTTCCGCTCCAGGTCCGATCGGGCCATGGTGCAACACGCGCTGAGTTGCTCCACCTGGAAATGAACGCCAAATGGTTAAGAAGTAAAATAACGCATTGGCAAAAAAAATGGGTGGAAACATGATCATTGTGCTGGTGGTGTGGAATCAAACCTTAACCGGGGCGCGCTAGACGACTCTCCCCTACCCTGACCCACCCTGAATCCCACCAGTGGATTGTGATCAAAATTGATCAAATCATCTTAAGCATTAGACATAGATGGAACCTTACCTTGTCTAAATACAACCAAGCTTCAACCCACGGTATATATAGCACTATTAAACCCAACCTTCCCTAACGAAGTTCGCGTGCTCCGCCCGCTACGCTGATCCTCAATGAAAAATGGCGGAAATGGCGGACCGGTAGTGGTGCATTGGTGGCGACGGCGTCTATTCGCAAAATAATAATGTAAATGTAATAAAATAATAAAATAAAAATGAATTGATTGAAGCTGACTATATAAATTCATGATGAAGATTTTTGATAGCAATTTTTCAATATTTTTTTTTAATTTTATACAAAAATGAAAAACAAATATTTCAGCTATGAATAAAAACAATTCACTAAAATAAAAAAACGCACTGCTCGGTGACATAATATCATTTTAAGGGAGAATTCAGCTAATTATTCTTGAAACCAACATTTCACATCTTATTTTTTTAATTCCACCACTATATCCGCGCGGGATGCTTTGTCCGGCTTGTCCGACGAACCCGCAGTCAGCCCACACAACGCCCGTGACGGAACTTTCATCGGGCAGCCCGCGCATTGCCCGTAAAAAACTGCATGGGTTGAGCCCACCCTCTGCCCACGTTCGTCATGCCCATACGGGGCCCTCGTGAGCACAGCCCGCAGTCAGTCCATGTTCGCCATGCCCACACAAAGCCCTTGCTATGTCTGACGAAAAAAAACTCCTAACTGGGGCTAAGTTGGGCTGCGCCCGACTCCTGCCCACTTTGCCCGCACTGTGCCCACGAAAAATGTTGGATGGGGTTCTACCTACGTGTGTAATGTGGCCCCAATCGGGCTATGCTGTGGCATGCCCGATCTAACTGCAAATCTCATTGGGCATGCCCAAACAATTACAAATTGGGCATGCCCAAGCATTGCCCAAGCAATTACAAATTGGGCATGCCCAATCATTGCCCAGATAACGGTGAAATTTGACATGTTCAGACTCCAGAGCATGTTGTCATTTAATGACAACGTGCTTTGTTTTCAACATGCCTATGGTACGTATGTTCTTTCGATGATCATATAAAAAAATGAAAATGTCATCATCCTCCATTTATTAACATAACATTTGATACGGGGCGATGACAAACATCGGACGAACAAAGAACGCATCTCATAATTGAAAAGTGCTGATCATTTCAACACATCTGAAAGTCATCGATCTGTTGAACATGGAACGTCTACGTCGAATACCAAAAATAAGGTCAAATCTCTTACTACATGTTTGATAAAGGCCTGTGGGCGAAAGCTCGCAACTAAATATATACATTGCAACTTTCATTTATTCATATGTCGATGAAACGGTCATACCAAATACGATTTCTATGGCGCCAACATCATCAACTCCCAAAATTAATCTGCAAAGATTAAATCATTCATCAATTCATTCATAAAAAAACATGTAACTTATCAACATTCGGTATGAACAGAATGCACGGGTACACTCCCTTCTTGAGCTCCACTTCCTAGTTCCTTCTGCGTTTCACAACTCTTCGAAGCGGAGCTGTCGTTCCTCGGAATACTCCTCAGCGTCGGGCACCGCCTCGGCGGCGGCTGTCGGTGCGTCGCCTGCGGCCATTACCGCGTCGCCATCGACCATACGACCATGATCGCGACGGCTGTTCGCCAGTCGAGCCAGCCGCTTCCCGTCACGGTCGCGGCTCCCCGACAGCATGGATGCGAGTCTCGGCGTCGGCCCCTTTGATGTCAGCGACCAGCGCGGCCACCTAGCGGCCAACAGATGAACTAAACCTAGCCACGACGCGCGGTGGGCCGCAGTGTAAAGCGTAATGACGGGGATATGTTCCGCGAATATTTTTAGGCGTTTTGGGTTGAAAAATGTTACAACATGGCACAAGTGATGCCCATATCTGTTTTCTGATCATTTACAAACCAAGTCCCAGTATAATACGGACGGGAGTCGGAAGAGGAATTGGATGGGCTTGGCTTGCATGCTCCCCCTCACCCGCCACTCAAAATCTGCAGTGGGCACAGAAAGCCCGAAAAGACGTTCAGTGATTGATCATGATCAATTAGTTTGTTCATCGTATCCTTTGACGATAATACACTTACGATACGCCAGTCAACCCAGTCATTTGGACACGAGATTCGTCTCTCCGTCCGCGGAGAGCGCGCCTCACGCACCCACACACAGACACAAACGGCCCGAGCTCAGCCCACGCGCAGGACGGCGGACGCCCGATACAGTGTGGAGTCCATACCGGTCCACGATCGTGCCACTCGGTTGCAGATGGTTCGCGAGACCGTCGCTGGGGCCTGGCGGAGTCCCGAATACAGCCACTGGAGCCGCGAGGCGCCGCAGTGCAGCCCAGCAACACGGGAGCGGTGCAGCACAGGGAAACGGGAGCGGCTGGCTCCCGTTTCATCTCTAATCACTGTCATCTCGCCCGCACACGGCGACTCTCGACGGCAGCGCGCATCACCCCATTACGCCGCACATCAGCCCAAGACGCCGCACCCCGACCGATGACGTCAGAAATCATCCCATGACACACCACACACGTGGGGACTGACAGCGGAGGTCGAACCGCCAGCGACACCCTCAGTACACTCGCATCTACATATACACAAGCATACACGCGCGCGCACACGTGTCAGCCTGCCGTCACGCTATATAGTATACACACATTTAGACACATGCAAAAAAACTTTCGACATCGAGCTTGCACAACTGTAGAGGAACACAGCTGTTCAGTCTGCCACTCTATTTCAGAATGCCGCGCGGGCCGGCTGACCCGCGCAGACGATGACACCGCGGTACAGTCTAACAGACAGGCGCACGCACACCGCGCCCTGTGCACAGCCGCCGCGCGGCCCCGCGCACGCGCAGTCGTCGCATGGACCACGCCCAATTACCGTACATTACTTTCCCACGTAAAAGTTTGGTTTGTTCCGCACACGAGCCGGATAGCGACGCGCGAGCTCACTGCGATTGCCCGTAGAAACAGACGCGTCATCGGGCCGCGACAATGGCGCCGGCGCCGTCCGCTGAGATTGCGACAGCGGCACCCGGCCAGATAGCGGCGATGACGGAACGGCAGCGCTCGAGACCTCGCGCTGAGTCGGCCCAGCTGACGACCCAGCAGCAACACCAGCCAGCTCGCCAGACGACCCAGCAGGCGGCTCGGCAGACGACCCAACGGCAGCACCAGGTGCCGGCGGCCGAACGAGCGCCGCGGCGGGCGGCCGTTAAACAGCGTCGGCGGCAGCCGGTAGCCAGCCAGAGTGAGCTCCCTCAGCGCCGCCGCCAGGTGTCACCTCTCCGCTCCGGCTCAGGTCAGGTAGCTGACGATATCCTGTGGACAGGGGTCGGCGTCTCAGTTCATCGACCTGGAGATCGATCTCTTTTGGCTCTCGTCCTCTTTCACGAAGTTGATCGATGTGACGTCTCCAGCATCTCCCGTCTTCTAATCGTACCACATACGACACCGGTCCATCGATCGCACAGATAAAGCCGGGTACCCAAGGACGACCCACTGAGAAATTTCTTGCATAAACCTCGTCATCTATGTCAAAAGTGCGAAGCGTACGCTTACCGTCATGGTTTTGTTTTTGGCTCACTTGACCTTTGACCACCGTCGCCCGGATGCTCGGCCGTAGAAGGTCCAGCTTACTCCGCAGCCTCCTGCCAAGCATCAGCTCTGCGGGCGGAACACCAGTTGTTGACTGAGGGACAATGTGTTGGTGAAGCAGCCAGTTTGCGAGACACAGATCCCATTGTCCCCCGCCAGAGCGCTGCAGCGCCAGCTTCACTTCTCTCACCATCCTCTGCCAAACCGTTCCCCTGACTGTGTCCTGGTTCTATCGTTTTGTGCTCTACGCCGTTCCCACGCAAAAACTCTTGGAACTCCTCAGAAGTAAATGATGTTGCATTGTCTGACACGAGTACATCAGGAAGGCCCCAGCGTGAAAACATTTTTCTCAATTGAACAATGGTGGTCCTCGAGCCAATACTGTGACACAGTTCAGCCTCTACCCATTTTGAGTGAGCGTCCACCACAACCAATACGTATCGTCCTCTTACCGGCTCAGCGTAATCAATGTGAATCCTGGACCACGGGCGGTCCGGCCAGGGCCACATACTCAGCGGTGCGCGGTCCGGTGCTGGGCGGCTCTCCTGGCATGGCTGGCAGCTCCGCACGACTTCCTCGATGGCGGCATCGATGCCCGGCCACCAGACGTAGCCTCGTGCCAGCGCCTTCATGCGCCTCATCCCGGGGTGGGCAGCATGTAGCTCGGCCAGTACCTCGCCTTGTGCCCTCTCTGGAATGATGACACGGTGTCCCCACATGAGGACGCCTGCGGTGACTGACAGCTCCAGTTTCCTGTCGGTAAATGATTTTGGCACATCGTCACCTTCACACCAATCACCATACTGCACACTCTGCAGCACTCTGCTCAACGTCCGATCCGTAGCTGTGAGTCGGGCTATCTTTTTTGCGTCGATTACACGACTGTCCACCATCAAGACCAGCTCTTCCGGTTCACCTGATTTGCCTAAAGGCAACGGAAGACGGGACAGAGCGTCGGCATTTCCCATGCGATCAGTCGGTCTGTGCTCAACGCTGTAACTGTATGTCGACAGCTTCAGCGCCCACCGTCTGATCCTAGCAGAGGTCATTGTCGGTAAGTCCTGATGTTCTCCGAACAGTCGTAACAGCGGCTTGTGATCTGTTACCAGCTTAAAACGGTTCCCGAGCAGATAGTTGTGAAATTTGCACACGCCGAACACAATGGCTAGAGCTTCTCTGTCAATCTGTGCATATCTGCGCTCAGACTCTGTCAGAGTACGCGATACATACCCCAAAGGTCTCTCTGATCCGTCAGCCTCTCGATGCGCCAGTACCGCGCCGATGCCGACGGGAGAGGCGTCACAGACCAGGACGAGCTGCTGGCCACTCCTGTAGTGCGCCAGAAATGAGTCCGACGACAGGGCGTTCCGCGCCCACTGGAAGCTCTTCTCCTGCTCGGAACCCCAGCGCCATCTGGAATCTATCCGGAGAAGCTCGTACAACGGGGCCAACTTGTCAGCACGGGAGGGCAGATACTTTGCGTAGTAAGTCACCATTCCGAGAAAACTAAGCAGCTCCTTGACACTTTTAGGAACTGGAGCATCCCTGATAGCTTTCACTTTGGCTGGCGTCGGTCGGATGCCATCCCTGTCGATCAGATGCCCCAAATACTCCACTTTTTGCATCATGAACTGACACTTGGATGCACGTACCTTCAGTCCAGCTTCTTGCAAGCGGCGGAGGACCTCGTCCAGCGTCTTCAGGTGCTCTTCAGTGGACCTACTGCTCACCAAAATGTCATCGAGGTACACGGCAACAGATGGCATGCCGCTCAACACCTTTTCAATCTCCCGCTGGAATATCCCTGGCCCAGCTGATATTCCAAATGGTAAGCGAGTGTAGGACATGGGCCCTTTAGCCGTACTTATCGTCAAAACATCCCTCGAATCTTTATGGATGGGAATCTGGTTGTAAGCTTGTGCCAGATCAATCTTCGAGAAAATCACTCCTCCAGCTAACTGAGCAAAAAGATCCTCAACGAGCGGCAGTGGATACTGATCCAGTTTGACGGCACGGTTGGCAGTGAGTTTGAAGTTGGCACATACCCTGATCTCACCAGACTTTTTCAGCACTGGAACCAGTGGTGCAGCCCACTGGCTGTGCTGCACCGGCACCAGTATGCCCGCCTTGACGTCCTTGTCGATCTGCTCGTCCACCTTCTCCCTGTAGACGTACGGCAGGGAGCTGGGTCTGAAAAATCTGGGGGTCACAGAACGGTCCACCTCTAGCTTCACCTCGACCCCTTTTAACTCACCAAGACCCGGCTCGAACACTTGACGGTACTTTCCCTTCAGCTGGTCGATGGCCGAGTTGAAGACCGCCTTGACCTCGCACCACCAGTTGATCGCCAGTTGATTCGAATGGCCTCCAACCAGTCTCTGCCCAAGAGACTGGATCTGCTGCCTTTCACCACGATCACCTTCATACCAGTGTATGTCATACCATTGTGCTCGACAGACGTACAAAATTCCCCGAGCACAGGAATGGGCTGATGTGTATATGCTCGTAGCTGAACCCTACACTCTTTCAGCCTAGGCTTGCAGTTCAACATGCTGAAGGTATTCTCTCCAATGAGAGTGTACCTAGAGCCTGTGTCGATCTCCATTGTCACATCAGTCTGTTGCAGTTTAACATCACACGTGAACGGAAGTGAGCCACCCACCTGTCTGACGTCAGCAGTGCCGGTGTCAGTGGATCGACGGATCTGGCCGACTGCTTCTTCGGCTTCCACCCAGCTCTCCCAGTCCTCTTCATCGCCGGAGCCGGTGACATTGTTGGCCGACTGACGGCGCCTCCCAGAAGTGGCCGTCTTCCGTGGGCGGCGCCTGCACGCTCTCTGAATGTGGCCGAACTGACCACAGTTTCGACACTTGAAGTTACGGAATCTGCATATATCTGGACTGTGATTCGCACGATTGCAATGCCAGCAAGGCTCTGTGTTCGCCTGCGCTGCAGCAGCATGGACAGTGGCGTGGCCCGTGCCCCCGCACTGACCTGCGATGACCTGAGCGTCCTTACTCGACATCTCGAGCGACAGGCTGACTTGCTGAGCTCTGGAGAAGTCCAGCTGGGGCTCAGCCAAGAGGTGCCTCTGGATGCGCTCGTCAGCGATGCCGCACACCAGCTGCTCCATCAGCCGATCCTCCAGTGTGCCTCCAAACTCGCAGTGCTCTGCTGCCTTGCGGAGCTCGGCGATAAAGTCTGCAACAGGTTGAGACGGATCACGATGGCACTGGCTAAATCGAAATCTGCTCAATATTTTCGATGGCTTGGGGTCTTTGTGAGCTCTCATCACTTCTAACAGCTCTTCAAACGATTTATCATGCAGTGCAGCCGGCGATACTAAACTGCGAAACAATGTATACGCCTTCTTCCCACAAGCAGTCAATAAACGAGCTCTCTTGACGGTACCATCAGTGATTTGCTTACTTTCCAAGAGGAAGACAACACGTTCCTCCCACTCACACCATGAATCCGTATCGGGATTAAATGGTTCGATCTCACCCATTTTGCTGCAGCAGAAGTCTCGGTGCCCAACGGGTTCAATACCAGAGCCGTCCGCGGCGACCGGGACCACGCCTTGTCCAGCACCCGTCCTTTGGCTGTCCGTTTTCCTCGTCGCCAGTTGTAGAGGAACACAGCTGTTCAGTCTGCCACTCTATTTCAGAATGCCGCGCGGGCCGGCTGACCCGCGCAGACGATGACACCGCGGTACAGTCTAACAGACAGGCGCACGCACACCGCGCCCTGTGCACAGCCGCCGCGCGGCCCCGCGCACGCGCAGTCGTCGCATGGACCACGCCCAATTACCGTACAACAACCATCACTGCAAGAGCGACTGTTCAGCCTAGTGAAATGAAAATGAGATCATTGAAAAGGATGGCACAGCCCTGCTCGTCACCCCACTATCTGACTACGCTCGAGATGTGACTTTGAGCAGCTTCCTGTTTTGTTTCTGCGCAGGCGCTCGCCCAGAGGATCCCTGTTTGCAGAGCCTGTACAGGTTCAGGCGAATGAAAAGGGTGATCATGAAAACCAATGCATTCTTATCGCACAGCAAGGCCAATAGATCTAGCGCCGGCTGCGAAGTCATGACACGGTTTAAGATTACCGACAGCATTCCCGACTTTGTGAATAGAGCCGGCCACAGGACTTGGGTAGCGCGGTAAGCGTACGAGACAATCTCGTAAAAGCCCTGTGTGGGCTTTACCAGGCTTCCGGCTTCTACTTCTGATGCACCGGTAAAGCTTTTCAGTCCACACATCATCTCCCGCTCAAAACACACCAAAGGATCGGGTTTTGCGAGCACAGCAGAGCACTGAACACAGGCATGTTTCTCCGCACCACGTCGCAACACCCAGCCGCCGACGTACGTCAAAATGTTCGACATCGTAGCATCGATCGGTGCAAGTGAAACGTCAACTGGCTCGGAGTTCGCTAAGGACACTTTCACTTGCGTGAGGTTGCACCTCACCCTGCGGGACACTGACGTCACAACGGTGAGGAGCGTGTCGCCATCTGGCTCGCAGTTCGCGGTCGGTGGCGCAAGAATGTTCGTTGCCACCGTCTTACGGAGGGCCATTCGAAACTTACTGGCATCCGGCAGATCATTTTGTCCATTTCTCGACCGAATGACTGAGAAGAGATTCTCACAGGCATCCTGGTTGAGGCGCCGAGTCAGCATGAACTGCAGGACCCGTCCACCATAGGTGTCCCACAGCGATAGAACGCCAGCGATGGTGAGCTGCAGACCACGCACCGACGGTACCTGAAGGCACAAATGATCACAATTACAATAAAAAAGTTACTGCATACAAACCACTTATGATAATAACGGTTCAATACGGCCTCATAATCAAGGCGATAAAATCCTAACAAAACGACATATCAAAATCCATGCAGTAAAACTGATTTGGCGAAAATTGTGAAAATTTCGAAACGACGGTGTCACATCAGCAGGTCTTTGATCTCAAGATGTACCTAAAATAGCTGTCTTTGATCTCGTTCGAGGACTTATGAAGCAGACACGCGAATAAAAAATGTTACGAATTGGAAGACGTGTGCTGTGAATAAATGTTATTGACAATGCGGAGCCGAACATCGCGCCGAACGTCAGTCTTTACCTGCACATTCCATCTTCCGAGCCACGCGGATGTATCTTGGAGGAAGCGTCTCCTGTCCTCGATGTTTCTCCCACTGATGGCTTCCTTCATCGGGTTAGCAGCTTTGAAGGTGCTGGAGTTAAGCACATCAAAAGTGTCGTTGAGGCGCTGTAGGAATACCGCCGTGTCCTCAGGATCAGCAGTCCTGGTCTCCGATCCGGTCCCACTCCCCAACATGCCTGCCAACACATATAATAATAACTATATTACCAGCATAAATGTTATAATCACTTCACGACAGAAGTATTCGAAAAATAGTTACTAAGAATAATTAAATATTCATCTGTTATACTGACAGGCAACCAGTCCATTGCCAAATGACCGTTAGGTGAGTATGTGCTTCGGTGGACATTAGATAAGGGAGCATTAAGTCTATGAAAATATGGTAAGTTTCACAATATTTCATTGGTGTTTGATTTAACCAGCTAATTCCAGTCACCAATTATTTTAGTTTTGAGTTTGGCCTACTAAAGTTTACAGTCAGGAACCGCCACTTACCGCATGCGCTGTACAGCGAGATGCCAACAGCTACGGAGCGGCTGAGCACTTGGGCGGCGTACCGAACTTTCATTTTCTGAAAGTTGTTGGGAGCGACGTGTTTCCGGGTGAGCTTCGGAGCGCTTCTCAGCGTCCTTTGAGAGTCCTTTTCGAAGAACTCGGTCACGTGAGACCAAGAGGCCCTCTTGTCATCTACGAGGATGTCATGCTTCATGAGGGTGTTCCTCAGACACTTGATGAGGTGCGGCACGTCGTGTATGCAGACTACCTCTACTCCGTCCAATTCGAATGTGGGAGCTGCTGCAGAAACGCCCAGCTTTGAGTAGAGCTCCTGGTTGGGCGTACCCATATCACTAACCACGCATGCCACAGTAAATCCAGCGAGCCGCAGCTTCCTTATACACTCCTCCAGCAGAGGACGGAGGACAGATGCGGGAGTAGGACCATGGCTTAGAGTGTATCCTACAGGCTGTTTCCACTTCGAAGTCAGACCTCTTGCTAGGAAGACCAATGCATGATCGGCCTTCCTCGCAGATTTCCCCAGCTCCCCAAAATCTTCTATTCCTTCTATGACATCATCATGAGCCAAGTATGTCAGGTTGGGTCGCACCTGCATCTCGTCAAATGAGAGCACGACAAGCTTTTCATGCTCTGGGGCCTCACGGAACTTCTCCTGCATCACCGAGAGTATCCAGTCTTGAAAGCCAGGCTTAAACTGGATCATCTCAATACGCTTTTGCAGACAGCGAACACTGGGCAGCACAAACGTTTTCTGCAAGTGTTTGTAGGCCTTTTCTCCCTGGTAGTAGATAGCCAGGCTCTCCATGATCTGGGCGTCAGTGAAACGTCTGCCCTTCGCCTTGACATTCGTCATTTCCAGCTGATTTTTTAAAAACCGCTGCTGCTGTGGACTTAAGATCCCAGCCGTGAAGTCCAGCACATCTTTCACGCTCTTTGGTTTGCTATCCGCCAACCGGCCTTCCAGTGCCTGACGTTTTAAACGCAAGCGCCGCATCGCACACCGGTATCTGTTCAGCTTAGATTGAGCAGCCTTCGTCTCAGATGACACAGGGTGATTTTCCTTGGACTCCTCACCGGTTGCATCCGCGTCACAGTCTCCATCATCACTTGGCGAAATCGATGCAGAAGGCGCAACACGTTCGCCATCTCCAGTTTCCTCTGCTCCGAGGTCAGCCTCAGGCGAGAAGACAATGTCCATGGATGACCAGTCCATGCACGGTCCAGCAGGCTCTGCAGCAAAGGGCGGGGTAGAGAAGCGTGTTAGTACTATATCGTGAAATATGACGGGTTGACCCTATTCCTGGGCGGCGGGCACTGGAAGGTTCGGAATCTGGCAGGGGTCCTTCAAATCAAAAGTTATTGCCCAAAAACTGTTGGTGACCTGTGATGACGTCACATGACCTCCAATGAGCATTGCACAGGTCATGGACACACCTGTGGGCTTGAATGACCAAGGGAAACTACTTTTAGCATGGTTTTGGCTGTTTGGGACGCTTTTGACGCACATCAGAATGAGTTGAATTTTCCCCCATTGACTTATAATGGAGAGGTCACAAAATTGACCTGACCTTAGGTCACAGATAAAGAAAATCCAAGATATACATTTTGTAGGTACTGTCACGGTAATCAATGCTTAACCCTCGCCCTGGCAGGGCATTTTTCATAACACGGCCTGGCAGGGGGGGGGGGGGTCGATGCGACCCCCCCTCGCGATTGGCTCCTATGGCACCTAGAAACACCAAATTTGGTAGGTAGGTGGGCCCCCTGGAGTTCTCGCCCCTGTGCAAATTTCGTTGCTCTAGGTCAATATTTAGGGGGGTTTTGGGGGGTATAAATGTAAAAATTTCGCGAAAAAACAGGTCAAAAGTTTTTCGCTTATAACTTTTGATCTAATTAAGATAGAGCAAAAAGAAAAGCACCAGTGAACTCAGCACGTCAAGGCGCGTCGAATGAAATGCTTTTTAGCTTGCTTAAGTGTACTTAAAGTTTTTCTTAAATTTTAAGTAAACTTAAATTCATAAATTAAGTTCAAGTTAACCAAATTGCATCATATCGCATATCATTCGATTCGGCTGATCACCAGGAACACAATGATACCATTTTTTAAGCTCTAGCATCATTATGTGCCAAGTTATTGGCAAAAACGTCATTTGACCTCAGTTGACCTCATTTGACCTGACCCATGGATAAGTACACCAAACAAAGAAGCACCAAGTGATCTGCTGTTAAGTACTGTTGTTTTAAAGCACAAAAGTGATAGAACGAAGCGGATATCTCCAGTATTTTCCGAATTTAGTATTTTCCCATAGGCTTAACATTACGACGTAATGACCTCTAACTGACCTCAGGTCAGTGACCTCAAAAAACCCGAACTATATGTTATACAACTCGGTGAACTTAGCACATCCTGAAAGTTTGAAGGAAATCAGTGCAAAACTGTGAGTTGGACAGGTGGAAAAAGAAAATTTAAATTTGACCATGACCTTGTACCGGTTTTTCTGACCTGGTGACCTGACCCAAGGTCACCCGGACCTGAAATTTTCAGGTCATATGTAAAAAGGTTGCCCCATAGGCTGTGCCAAATTTGGCGGCGCTGCGCGCCGCCGTTTTTACGCTATCTTCGAAAAACCTTAGGGGGGGGGTCGCATCGACCCCCCCCCCCCTGCCAGGGCGAGGGTTAAAGTATCAAAGTGGTCGGTCAACAGTTGTAGCTTGGGCACATGTTGAAAGTTTTTCAGAGGTCGTGTCACTTAACCCTCGCCGGTCCGGGGGGGGGGGTTGATGCAACCCCCCCCCCCTGAGGTTTTTCTCAGCTGCATGCCAAACCGCTTGGAGGATCGCGCTGAAACTTTGGGTACCCAATGGGGCATCCTTTGCGCAACTTTTGGCGAAAAAAAATTGACCGGGTCATGTCAGGTCACGGAGCTATGACGTCATAAAGGGAACAAAGTCAGGACGTTTTTGCACGAAATCGTAGTTTTTCGTGCTTTTAACGACGATGTTGGCTACGCTTTGGCATTGTTTGGGTCAAAAGTGACTGGCATGACACTGACACAACCTCCGGCGACCCATGTAAGGTCAAGGTCAGGTCAAGGTCAGGCCAGTGACCTCTGGTGACCTCATGCAGTTTGACCTACCGGGGGGTAATTTTTTGTCCTGAATTTGAATCTGACGCCAAATAAAGCTCAGACACTTGGTTTATTGAGTGTTTCAGGGCCGTGGAGAGGTCACCGACGGGTTAGAACACGTTTCCGACCCCAACTGTCAGACGGCATTTTCGGCCACCCGGCCGCGGATGTGACCCGGCCGGCTTCCCGGCGCTCTGCCGCGGAATCTATTGGGTAAATGTAGATAAACTATACACCAAATTGCTCCATATTCATCAAGGAACACGTTAGTGAAGACCACACGTCGATATCGGCAATAGCGGCGCCGCTAGCGATGCGCAAAGTTGAAAAAATGTCGATTTTCCGAAAATTTGACCTTTGACCTGCCATAACGAGGTCAAATATTGACCTAGGGTCCAAAAAGTTGTGCTCAATCGCGAGATCTCGTCGAGAGCAACACGCTGGTTTTTTCGCGAAGCGCTACCACGACGCGTTTCGAAACGGCAGGGGGGGTCGTACCAACCCCCCCCCCCCTGGACCGGCGAAGGTGGCAGAATGCCGAGGATCTTGTGAGATATTCGCGAAAAACCTCAGGGGGCGTCCAAACGCCCCCCCCCCCCCCAGCGTGACGCGGGTTAACTTGAGCCAGCGACCTGACCCGACATTTTTCCAAAATGAGCTCAATGAATGTCACTGTGAAATTTCCTGCATTTAATAAGGGTAGCAGGATCTACGAAATGTACATCTCAGATTTTTATATTCATGACCTAAGATCAGGTCAAATTTGTGACCTCCCCATTACAAGTCAATGGAGAACAAAAACTTGCTCGGATTTGCGTACAGACGACTTCAAACAATTAAAACAGACATAAGATGGTTTGAGATGTTTGTGATATGCAACGTGACCAACTTTGACCTGACCTGACCTTTGACCTAGGTCAATATTTGAACTGAACAACACTATTGCATGTCACCAACAAAGGCACAGTTAAAACAATATATCTACCTGCATTCATCATTGAAAACTCACCTTTCTTTGCTTTTTTAGCCGGTGGATCTTGGCGCTCATGCAGAACCCTTTTTGTTGCCAAAGTAGCTGGAGGGTTAGGCACGTCAAAAAGAGTTGGCACAGCAGTGCGCAGAAGGTACTTTCCACTCGTGTTGTACTGTGAAGTCTCAAAGTGCCAGGAACGCAAGTAAACATTCTTGTACAAATACTCTGTACTCTTGTTTCTCAGGTCCTCTCTTCTGCAATTTTGCACCCATTTTTTGCATCTGCCGAGAGAGAAAACCCATGGATTAGAATTTAAAAACACTTAAGTCATGTACACATTGCACAGTCATGTGAATCCACCACACCAAAAAAAAATCATGCGCCAAACTAATGGAATACTGAAAACTCCAAAAATGACCTGCATTCAGTAAGTGTTAAAAACTAAACACAAGTTACAATTTACTTGTACTTAATGCCACCAGGAACTTTAAATGCATTCCATTTGTATAATTAGAACATGTATGAACATCAGCTCAGCACCCTAAATATAATTTTTTTACACAATCTCGATTTATCAAGATGCACAGCTTTTTTACCTTTCAGCATCTTTAGGAAACCTGTGGAACTTCAGCTCAGGATTGCGTTTTTTGTAAGTGCTGCAATTGATGGCACCACACCATGAGCTTCCATCATGATCCCTCCCCATCTTGATCAAGATCTGAAACAAAAATAGCAAAGAAATTAGGATGAAACATGGCATAGATACCTAAACACTTGTTTTAAAAACAAGAATTAGGAGAAGATTTCACAGCAACACAACACTTGTATTATTAGTAAGATATAATATAATATTTGTAACAGTTGTAACCCTTGTAAGATATTCCCATAGGTAAGTCGCAAACAATCCACTCAAATATCATCACATTTCTAGTGAAATTTTATTTTTGCTGAGCATTAATTATTGCATGGAAAGAATTGACTTCAAGTGGACAGTAATCCGGTTTTTAAACCATTAAGAGAGGCAAAGTTGACCAAAGTCAAGAAAAGAAGCAAAGTCAAGTCAAGGCCGCAGGGAAAGGCAACCGCCCTTATAGGGGATCACCAATATCTCTCCGTGGCCGAGTGGATAAAAGCGCCGGAGTTCGACGCTTAGCCGGAAGTGAGAGCCCGGTTCCAGCCCCGGTGCGGGCGGCCACATTTAGCTCCTACGTGTAATGGCGTGCGTGTCTGTGGCAGGGGCCGCACAGAAGCCAGGTAACGTGAGTGAGCGGAGGGGACCGTGTCCAGTCGTTAGGGCACGTTAAACGTTCGGACAAAATTCTGCCGTACAACTGGAATTGCGCGATCGGGTGGTGGGGTCAGGGTCAGCACAACAAGCTATGCTTAGTGCGGGCTCTGATTCCTCAAATCCACCCATTCAGCCATTCGGACTAAATTTAAAAAAAAAAAATCTCTCGCTGAATCATGTCTTGTATTTGTCTGATGTCCTGTAGGTACCTACATACTTGTGCTTTCACGAATACAACAAAGACAAGTTTGTTTGTTTGTTTGTTGGGGTTTTAGGGCGCGTCAACAACTAAGGTCATATTGCGCCCACACAACAAATACAAGCACAACAGCCTGACATGCTTTGTTGCAAAATAGCGTCAAAGTTTCATATCGGGATGTGGATGATTGATAAAATTAATTCATAAGAAGCCAAGTGATGCTCTTCAACTTCATGATGTGAAATCATTCATGACGTCATAGATTCAAGAGGTGTAGGAAAATGTCAATGTCGAGCGGTGCAGGAAAACGTCTAGAGGTGCAGGAAAACATATTTTCCTACACGTCTGGGGAACCAATCAACATTGACTTCTTGTATGTTTCAAAAGTGTAGTATAATGCACATGCCATTTTAATGCCTGGCTTTCTCCATTTAATCATGCAATGATGCATGTATGGGGGAAAAATATCAAAAGTTATGCTAAACAACATGTTTTCAAAGCCCCATATATGAACAAATAATAAATTTAAGCTAACTCAAGCTAAATTCAAACTCCATTAAAGGGACTGTCCCACCTTAACATTAGATTTGAGTTGAGATAGCCATCTTGATGGACGTTCTTTGAAAATCAGTGCCGTGAAAACCGTTTCTCCAGCAATTACTTCATCGCAAAGAAATTTGAGTTTGATTTTGACATCTGTGCAAATAAGTGCCACAATGTATTGGTATAGGCACTTAAATCTGATGACGTCATCAGGCTTTCGAACGTCCGTTAAATGTTTGACTAAAACGTTTTGTAGCACGCGGTGGTATATGCTGCGTTGCGCGCAACAAATGCCGCACTTTTAAATAAAGTCGCTAGGAACAGCGGAGATCCCAAAAAGTAAACAAAAGTAAAAGTCTAATATCTTGAAAACCGGTGAATATTTTTCGGTGAAATTTGGTAGATATTCGTTTTCGCTCTTTCTGAACCGAGCGACATCACTTTCATGCCAATTCATAAACTTTTTTAAAGGTGGGAGGGTCCCTTTAAATATGAAAATATAAGAATTAGGAACCTCAACCTACTGGAAATAGAATGTGATCATGCGCCATTTTTGTCTGTATACTTTGAGTTACAATAACTTAAAAGTGAAGCAAGTCAGCTTTTATTTCATGAGCCTATTTCAATTTTGAATGCTTCGAAATTCCGAATCACTCAACTATCCAGATTTATCTGATATAATTTAATAAGAAAATGGGATGTCTGTGAAAGCCGACGCACGAGCCTTAACAAGACGCCATTACAAACCCTTGAATATCACCGATTCAAGCACTTTCACGAAGGAACCGATATGTTCACCGGCATGCCCCGGTGTTCTTACCTCAGAAAATATCCGATTCTTCGACGAACTCAATGAAATGCTCACAAAAAAACTAAAACTCTTTCGCCGCACCACCAACCTCCATAGGCTCAGAACGGACGCCGGTGAAAACAGGGCGCCGGAGGGCATGAGATATGGCACACTGCCATATCCAGTCACGTGATCTCAGGTGAAGTTTTCCTTCCTAGCACCATTCGTGACGAAGGATTCGAAGGAAGTTTTAAAATGTTTTAGTAGCTATTACAAGTTTTCAAATTTAAAATGTACTTTTAAAAGTTCGGTTAACTTCAAACCGAGCACATAAAAAAATCGAGGCAGAATTGCTATATCATCTGTAAGCACGCCGTCTACCTATATGACCAGATAGTTGTCACTGCCTAGCGGTGCAGGTCGCAGGCCATGCTTTTAGAGATCCCAAAGAGATGGCGCTACGGTGCCCGTAGTATGCCCTGAGGGCCCCTGTCCGTAACGTCAAGTGACACTAAATTATAAGTAACGCATCGCAGTGTGTTTGAAAGGCTTGCAACTTTGCCTTTTTTAGTATCAGGTCATTTTCTCCTAATATGCTGTTCTTTTTTCTTTTGACGAATGTCTTGGACACTTGTATTCACATCTGTCAGTATCATATTGCAAGGAACGTAGTTAGAAGTTCACAATCCATTGCCGCAAACAGCGCCCCCTAGAATACTTCCGCTGGGCTAGGACGCCACCTATGAATGCGAGGTCTGCGCGGAATGAGTGCACAATCGAAAAGTATTTATGGCATACGCGTAATTGCAACTATGAACTATATCTACCAGGTACGTTAAGGCACAAAGATTGATAGACAAGTCATTTAATTTTTTCTAAGCCGCCACCCATTATCAGGTGACCAGGAGTGCCCCCTCCCCCCCCCTTCGCAATTGCAATGCATTAGTTATGCTATGCTATGTACGTGCCTAATGTTATTAGCTACGTTAGTTATTGTCATTAGTTATGCTGTGATGCCCATATGTGTCGTCCAGTCCATTGATGTGGTGTTCACGCTTCACATGTTTTGCTGTCTAAGGTCTTGTTGCTTGTCACATAACTAGTGACATACCTATGACGATTTACCACATACCGTTCCGTCGTTTCCTTTCCATCCTTAGGACATTCAAACCCTTCTTCTCCACGCCTCAACCCCCTGGTCCGGGCTGGACGGGCAACTTTATTCCATGCGGGATTGCCCATAAGCCGAGCACGCCCGTAGCCTGGGTGCTGGGTGGCCTGCCCATTTAAATGGGCTCAGCCCCGGCGACTCACTAGGGTGCTCGCCCCATGCCCCCTCCCCCCAAGTCATATCATCCTCCCGGCTCTGCAATGGTCTCATCGGACCAAGGGCCTAACCCAACGAAACAAACAAACAAACAAACAAACAAACAAACAAACAAACAAACAAACGGTTTATCACGCTTCTCATATCACCGTTAAGGCAGCATCGGAAGCAAATTAGCGATGCATTCCATTGTCAGCATCACTCTAGAATGTGACAAAACATTGTGTGACTTAGTCCGACATCAAAGCAATAACTTCCGCGGACCAGCCGCGATGCGTGGCTGGTAATCACTGCGCCCAATGATCTGACTCGCTTCATTGTTCAGTGACCGGTCATCTATCACCCACCCTCAGCGCGCAGCGCTTCGCCGGATTCCACGCTGACCAAGCCACCGTTCTCGACACCGTCGCGCCGCTGCCGTGAGACGGCACGGAGGAACCACCAGTGCTCGTAGAGTTTGTCATGCCGCATAGTTCTCTCCGGATGTCCATGCTGTGAGAAGATGGGTTGCGCAAGTGGTCAGATTTCCATCAGTTAATACTTAATTTGTTCGACACAGATATAATATAAGTTATAACTAGGTAACACGTGAAATAAAGCATGGAGAGTGAAATAAGCACACAACATAAGAAGAACTACTCATAAGTGTCATTACACTTGGTCACTCCACATAACCACTTACGTTTTCTACTATGTTGATGTGCTCTCTCCGGCAGGCTGTGGCTTGCTGCGGCACACGGGGCAGAGCCATTCTGCATCTTCAACTGCAACAGACTTGTGACAGCTCAAGAAAAAAGTGAGCTCGCTCAGCTCAACTCCGTTTTATCCGCTCCCGCTCAGCTCCCGCTCAGTTTAACACGGCTCAGCTCAGCTCACGCTCCGCTCAAACCGGCTGTGCTCCGCTCACGCTCAGCTCAGCTCAGCTCAGTTTCCGCTCAGCTCAGCTCAGCTCAGTTTCCGCTCAGCTCAGCTCAGCTCAGTTTCCGCTCAGCTCAGCTCAGCTCAGCTTCCGCTCAGCTCAGCTCAGCTCAGTTTCCGCTCAGCTAAGCTCAGCTCAGTTTCCGCTCAGCTCAGTTTCCGCTCAGCTCAGTTTCCGCTCAGCTCAGCTCAGTTTCCGCTCAGCTCAGCTCAGTTTCCGCTCAGCTCAGCTCAGCTCAGTTCCCGTTCAGCTCAGCTCAGTTTCCGCTCAATTCAGCTTAGCTCAGTTTCCGCTCAGTTAAATTCACGCTTAGATCGCTCAGTCGTTCTTTTTAAATCGGACATGCTTAACCCGCGCACCGACGGGGGGGGGCGGATATCCGCCCCCCCTGAGGTTTTTCGCGAATAGCGGGAAAACCGCGGCGCGTAGCGCCGCGAAATTTGGTATGACTATTCCCTTATCAATTTTACACATGGTGTGCAAGTTTGAACCTCCTACCTTTCAAGGTCAGGTCACCAGGTCACTTTGAATGACCCAACCTCAAGTCACTTTTTTGCAACTTTGTCACCGTGCCAGAGCTACAGTAGATGTCGGAGGCCTTTGAAAGTCGCAGGATGTTATTAGGTCATTAGTAGCTACAATTTGTATATCTCGGAATTTTGATATCGGTGACCTAAGGTCAGGTCAATTTCGCGACCTCCCCATTATAAGTCAATGGGGGAAAAATCAACTCCCTGTTTTTACCACTAAAACGGGTCGGAATGGCCCCATATACCATACATGACTTCATATACGATCAACCTTCACTACCTTGAGGTCTGTTTTGATGTTGGGCAGCTGTGAGGTCATGTGACGTCATCAAAGGTCACCAAAGGTTTTTGGCCAATAACTCCGTACAGGAACAAGATACAGACGCGTGGATGGTCTCATTGTGTTCAGCTCGTCAAGACGCATCGAATGATATACATGATGACCTCGAGGTCACGTGACCTGAGGTCAACCTTTGATCTTGACCTTTCGAGGTCAACATATATATCATTCGATGCGGATTGACGAGAGGATCACGATGATGCCCTTAGTTTGTTCCTATCTTGACTAATTCGAGAGTTATTCGAGAAAAACTCTCTCCATATTTAGCGCCGCCATTTTGACTTTTTCGACCCCTGTGACGTCATCTTTGACCTGACCTGAAAATGACCTTAGTAAAAATTGTAGATCTTGACCGTGCGTATCCGATGCCGTTTACCGCTTGTCGCTATCTTGCTTCGTTCTCGAGATCTCAGGGGGGGGGGCGGTCATCCGCCCCCCCCCCCCCCGTCGGTACTAAGTTGGCGCAGACCCCCGTCGGTGCGCGGGTTAACCCTCGCCCGTATAGGGGGGGGGGGGTCGAACGGACCCCCCTCTGTTTTTCGCGAATAACTCGCGTAAAAAGCGGCCGATCGCGACGAAACTTTCAGTACTCTCGCGATAATCAATTTTACACCTATCCTGAAAATTTCATGACCCTGACCCTAATGACCTTTGACCTGTGACCTACTTTTCGAGACCATGTTTGGCCGGAATCGCGATTCGGCGTATGTCGGCTCGCATTAGCCGCGCGTTAGCAGTCTTTTTGTGGTTTCAAGTGTTCAAACATGGCATATGATGTTGCTCCCATGCATTAGGGTGGGTGTCAAGGTCACCGGAAGGTCAGGTCAGGTCATTGACCTTTGATGACCTCGGTTCACTTTTTCGAGTTTTACATGTTTCTAGGCTAGTTTTTGGAGCTGAATTCGAATTTAGCAACCATTTGAACATTTACGAAGCAGTTTTGGTGCCTTCGTAACATGTTACGAAGCTGTCAGAGGCTACTACGAATACCCGGCAAAATCCTTACTGGTTGACCTGACCTGACCCGACCTGGCCTCAATGCATAAAGACATCATCAGTGATCATAACTAACATGATATTCGTGATCAGCACCCCGAAAAACCCCATAGCAGCCACGTTTTACGACGTTCTAACAGGTCCCGATTTTCCCGACTTTTGGGTCATTGACCTGTCCTGGAAGGTCAACCGATAACCTAGGACCTTAAAATTGGGTATCATCGGCTTCCTCTCGTCGCGGGCAGCACGCTCGTTTTTTCCGCGAAGCTCTAGCTCGATCAGGGACGAAACGGCAAGGGGGGGTCCAACGGACCCCCGCCCCCTTATACGTTCGCGGCTGGAAAAACACCAATACGGGCGAGGGTTAAAAAACAGACCAACTCTTGGCGCATAAGTAAGTCTCCTCTAACAAGGAGCGAGGCAACTTACACAATGGGCAAAAGAGATAAGCTCATTAAGACCTTGAGACTTTGCGAGTCGTGCGTCTACTTGGACTCAGACTATAGTTACATGAAATGGACTGTTCTTGGCAGTGTTATCACATGTTATCAGAGTGTGCACCCGCGATGTTAACATAACATATAAGTTCAAAATATACGAACGAAAAAAGTCTGGACGAAAAAGTTTACAGACGAAAAAATGTACAGACGAAAAAATGCCAGACGAAGAAAAGTCGGACGAAAATCTGCTAGACGAAAAAAACGCCATGGAATCATCTCAACTAGGCGGTGTTTCACGGCCGAGAGCAGCACGCCCACGCCGCCATCCGCTCTTGGCACCCTGCCAGGAGCTGACGTTACATTTTGGGGTTGTTGGAACTTGGAGATAAGAGTTTGTTTATATCTCCATGGAAACCCCATTTGACACGTGTATAGCGTGCTGTTATCAGTGAAACCTTGAGTGAAACCAAACACCACCCTGATCTCAACCAAGGCAATGTCAACACAATTAGAATTCATAGTCGCGTGTGAATAAGGAGCTTTTCCCATATTATGGACATCAG